TGGAATCAGTACTATGGAACCATGTATGCACTCTAGAAGAGCAAACTGAACGTATGATGTACGGTTTAAGCAATTTGATTGTCCTTAAAAAAAATCTTGAAACACATTTTTGGTTTTTGTCGCACGGTGTAATCAATGATTTTAATATTGAGAGTTAATGCTGGCTAATCATATGTATGTGAGCGCGTATTTCTATTAGTGTGTTCTTCGTTTTTATTTTCATAATTTTTGTATTAAAGTGTTTTAAATTATTTATAGATACATAATCATTATAATTTTTTTATGAGCTTTCAATATTATTTCTATTTATTATTATTAATACTACTTTATCTATATATTAATTTTGGAAAATAATTACGATTACAATAACAATTCGATCGCTACTATAATTGTTCGTTTTCCATTCAATTCTTTGCTACTACGGCATTTGCTTTGCCGCTGATTCTCTGCAGCAGTACGCTCACGACGTTTTTGTCGTCGCATTTTCAGCTGCTTGACGTGCAACTTATACGTCGCGCAGCGTTTGTGATTTAGTTTTGTTTTCTGTTTTGAATTTATTTATTGAATTCAGTTTTTTTTCGTGGTCTTTGAATCTCGAATTTTGTAATTAATTGTTTTTTTTTTATTTTACTTTTTTGCAACGGTTTTTATTTATCTATTTACTTTTTTTTTTTTAATTTATGTTAAGTTTTCTGCTTTAACGACGCAGCATTTGTGTTCACTAATATGCCTTTATTTAGTTTTATTGTTGTAATAAGTGTGTTTTGTTTTTCTGATAATATTTTCAAATATCCTGTTATTTGGTCTTTGCCACTATAAACACGTTTTGTAAAATAAGATACTCTTTCGACGTGACTTTTAGTTTGTTCTTAGTTAAACTAATACTATAACTTTTTTTGCTTTTGAAGTAAGCTTTTAAAAAAGGAAGTTAACCAAAACTAGCTGTTTCCTAGCCTTCAATGAAAAAGTGCTTACAAAAGGAAATAGATTAAATGAAATAGAAAAAGCAAATTTGTATGGGTTCAAAAATCTCTAAACGAAACTAACAAGCGTCTTACGTAAGTGTAAACAAATATTAAATAAATTGACAAACTTTCATTTCTTCCAATTACAACTAAGCGCATGTTTTAAATTTTATGCTTTTTCATTAATTTTTCCTTTCGAAAAAATATGTATACTAAATTGCATATTAGCTAAAATCTAATGCAGGCGCTTAAATTTCTATACTAGTGCTGTGGGCTCCAAAACTACATATATACGTAAACGCTTGTAAAAAATAATTTTATTCAATCCAATTAATACAAAAACATATTTTTAAATAGGAGGTGGGCATCAGCTTGCTCGCGGGAAAAGCTTTTTCAAGCTTTCTGTACTAAATATGTACAAAGCTTCAAAGAGATTTGCTGATGCCCACCACCGCCTTAAATGAATTAAAATAAAATAAGAAGTAAGCAACTTTCTGAAAGTCGAAACACTGAAAAACTTTAAATTTGAAAAATATTTTAAGTTTTTGAAGCTTTAAGGAATAACTCTATCGCCAAGGTGTATTAAACAAGGTGGTGTTGGGGCGACAGCTGAGTTTTTCGCCGTGGAGGCCATTACGTCAAAATGATGTGTTTGTTGTAACTCATACCAATGACAGTATGGACATCAGCGTATAATTTGTTAGTGTAATTTTTTACTTATATACGGCCAACACCACCTTGTTAAATACGCCTTGTCTATCGCTTTATGTACTGCTTGAGATCTCCCAGATTACTTTGCATGGTATTTTTTCTATCAGATGAGTTAAGAAAGCAGCCGATTGATTGGTTTTAGACCATTGTTGGTCAGCGAAGTCGAAACCTTTTACTTTATGCCAGAGATATTTGAAAAGCTTTTTACATCGAGCTTTTAAAAGCTCTAGAACGCGTGCCTATGAAAGCGCTCACACTGATTTATATGCACGCGCACAGACTAAAAGCTTCCTAAGCATCACTGTTTAAGAGGAATTCTGGCTAGAAAGAGAGCTGTTTTGTGTGCCATCCGCATGTATATATATACATTGTGCAGAGAACTTTTTAAAGGTTTAGAGATCGTCCCTTTAAAGCGGAGATGAGCATCGCCTTGCCTGCGGGCAGAGCTCTTTTAAGCTTTCTATGTATTTTGTACACAGGCATGCAGAGTAAAAGCTCTTTCTGTCCGTCGCTGCTTTAAAGCCGTGATGGGCACTACCTCGACCGCGAGCAGAACTCTTTTAAGCTTTCTTTACATTTTGTATATACACGTGCAGAATAAAAGCTCTCTCTGCACATCGCTGCTTTAGAGTGGCTAATGCGGTTTTGGACCAGACTTGGCTAAAAGTAGCCTTGTGTGCCAGCAGTACACTAAATGCGTATTAACAGCATCGCCATTCCCGCTTTTAGAGCTTTTTAAAAATATCGATTAGATATGCGAAAAGTAAAAGCTCCCTTTATACATTACTGATTAAGCCACTGGTGATCAGAGAAATCTTTCACTATGCGCGTAAGCGCACAATATCTAATTAAAGGTTTAAAAGTCTCTACAGCGGTAAATGTTTTTAAGGTGGCTGGATTAAATGCAGGGAAAGTTTTAAAAAGCTTTCCCTAAACCAATAAAAATAGCTCAACGGGGAGTGAGAGTGAGTGTACTGTACATTTTTAAATACTTTTGTTCACTACCGCAGCTGGAGTGGTGGTGTTTAACCGGTGATAGGCATCACCATTTACATATCGACACCTCCAAACCATGCCATGCTAAGTCATTAGAGATT